TATTAACCTCTAATTATTATCCAGAAACTCATAGTAATCATTATTAATTTTAATAATGACTACCAAAAAAATTAAGTTTTCCTCAAGAAAAATAAATTAACCTTATGTTTCCTATAATACTGTGTGTAGTGATGGATATTGTATAGACCCTATTTTAATTTAAATATATTTAATTTATACGTAATTTTTTAATATAAAATATTTATCTGTTCAAACTATGTTCTCAAATATAATTGTACCACTCCTTACAATCAAATTTAGATATCTGATTGTTTCCTTAGTGAACCTAATCATGAAAAGAATGAAATGTTGCAACTTAAATGCAAAGATATGTAATTCAACTTAGGAACTCAAAAAATTCACTTATGGAGAATCAGAAAAAAAAATTCCTAATTAATCGGTATAGCATTTCATTTAATTATATAACTCATTTATAATAAAAATAGATGTATAATGATTTCCTATTAGAAAGAAATCAATCATATACATTTTATACTTATATATTATAAATGAAATAATAGCTTAAATTCTTATTATCATAACAGATAGGCAATTGAGTAATTAAAATCAAGTAATTTTATATAAAGTAGAAACAGACATTTATCAAATTACAATATTCTCTAATGATTTTAAAACCATAGTAGTCTTTAAATACACTCTTCTATTTTCTTTCCAACAACTTTCCTCTTATTTTGCTTTTGAGCAAAACCACAAAACTTTAATTCCAAGAGATGTTTTACGGTTTCATTGGTACAATGTTTTTAGCAAATGTCATTAATTTCCTACAATGGATATCTGATGCTGTTTGGGATGCTGGATTTCTGTTTGGATTGAATGTGAAAAATAAGAAGTCTGCATATCCCATGACTTTGAAATCCAGATTCTGGTTTCTTCTATTTTAATTCTTCAAAGAAACTATCTAAGTATATGTAAAAAAGCTTAATTGAGATGCGAAAATACTCCATTTTTGAACCAATTTTTCTGTTTCCTATTACTCAAGTTTGAGTGTGTATGTTTCGGTGTAATTTTTCCAAAAAAATTCAATCTCCTCATCATCTAAAACTTTTCTCTGATTTAGAATCTCGTAAGCACTGGAGATATTAATAAAAATCACATCTAGTTTTTCTTTTTTCTTTGTGTCCTTTAACATTTTTGTCAATTGCTGATGTTTTTTTGCATGCTTTTCCATCATAACGCCACTTTTGGTATTATCTAAACTGCTGAAGATTGTAATTTTTCAGTTTCTAAATAAATCTGAATTCCAAAAATTTATACAGAGGGCTCAGAAATACTATGGGTCTATTAGGACTGATTTTTGATATGAGGGTAAAGTTTGTTCAATGAATCCAGTCTGGCTTCGCTTAAGTGAATATTTGTCTCAGGAGTACTCTGATTTCCGAGATCATTAAGTAAACTTTATTGCTTGGTCAATCTGATGAAATTATCTGTTATCCCTTCCATGATAATTGCCTTATTTTTCTCCTTTTTTGATCTTCTGTTTCTGATTTATTCAATTATCTAAAGGAGTTCAACAATATTGATTTTGTTTCTTCCAGAGTTTCAGCTAAATTTTTTGAAGCAGTTTTTGAAGGTTTTTGGAATTTACTGAACTTCGACGTTTTCGTTAACATAGCAACGATAATCAACTCCTTCTTTTTTTTTGGTTTCTTTTTATTTTTTTTTAGAAATGATAACGTCTTCATTTTTTCATTTTACTGAATATTTTTATTGGATAATGTAACAGTAGAATAATTATTTCATTTTAAAATCTACCCATCATTCCAAACATAGATATCATGTAAATAGTTATTAATTTTTTTTTAATTTTATAAATTGAAATTCCAGCTAGCTAGTCATGGTATAGACTATAATTTAGAGAGGAATAGCGGTACATAGGGGGTAGCCAAAACCCCCTATGTCACTGGAGGTAATAGAGAAGAAACTACTGTAGGAGGAGTAGTCTGAAGCAGAAGATGCAGGAGGGGTGAAGAATGAAGAATAAAAATGGTTCCAGGAATATACAAATAGAGTTAATTAAGAAATTTTTATTAAGCAACTATAACATTAAACCAAGTTTTTAAAATTCAATTTCTATTAATTAAAAACTATCTACAAACCTTAATTATTAAAGTTATTGAAAATAATTAAATAATCAATTAATTATAATTTTGTAATTATGTATACATTATGATAGATATCATTAATTTCCTACTTTTACTATACTTATTCAAATCTATAGATTTTTTATCCAATAAATCTAATATTGATGGGGGATTAATTTCATTTTATATTTTTTGGAGATGGAAAATTAAGTGATTTTACACTTAATAGATTTGCTTTAAATTAATGAATACAAATTTTTGGGAGAATTTCTCAATAAATAAATTTGACTGGTTTTGATGATTTCATCAAAACAATACAGTTTTTCATATTAGGAAGTAATGAAGGATATTTTTTTTTGTCTAGATATTAATTAAAAGGTGATTATATATTTCTGAATCTATAAAAGCTGTGTACAAAATCTCAGTGATTTATAAATGCTTATTATTTATAGATACTCATTAGATAGTTAAAGTTTGTTTTGGATTTGGTTTTTAAAGCCTAAGTTAATCAGTAATTAATCTATTAGAAGGGTATTAGGGGAGATATGATTATTTTCTCCAAACTTAGTCCTTTCAATAATATCATACTTCTTGATGATAATTGGAAAAATGTAATCCCTTAAGTAGAAGATTGATGAATTTTTAGCAGATTTTGCAAATGGATAATAAAATGAAATTAGTAAATTATAATTATAAAGAGTAAGCTTAAAGTGATCATTGATTGAATATTTACAAGCCCTAAATATATTTTTTATCAATCTATCCTTATAATAATTAAGGAAGTATTTATTTATATGTCTCCGGCTTGCTAAATTAAGAATATATTTTGAGGAAATACGTAAATGTATGTACTAATTAACAGCATTGATATTTTTTTGATAATGAAATGAATAAATATGTGTTGAATAGATGTGATATCGATAAGTGCAAAAATTGAATATTTATTAATAATTTCTTCTCACGATCAGTATTAAAACTAAATAGAGGTTATCAATATATTTTATGCTATTAAATGAAATTTGAGAAGACAATACCGAAATATTCAAAATGAGAATTATAAGATTCGAATATAAAAAGGATGATAAATAAAATAAGGTATCAAAAAAGTTAAAAATTTAGCAAATTTTAATAAATAATCTGAAATAATAGCTTTTTGGAGCATAAGGAGTCTTATAAATATATATAATATTTTATTTTATAATTGTTAGATTTAGACAAAATATTGTAGTTTCTAGTAAATTGATTAATAATAAAACTAAGTTTAAGTCTTAATAATTTATACTCATATTATTAAGAAATTTTAATGTATAAATTAGCTGTTTAATTATATTTATAGTTAGATAGTGACTATAATGTAAATGTATCAAGAATGATAATATTTCACATATCATCTGAAGATAGATGGGCTGTAAAATATTCGAATCATTTTAAACAACAGATTTAAGCATAAACCAATAATAATAAAGAAGTCAACTATAAGAACATTTTTACAAATCACACACAATTTATATACCGATAATAATTAATCTATAATGTTGGAATTAATGAAAAAAATTAAAAGTATTTATAATTATAAGGCTATTATAAATAAATTGTAATAAATGATATTTACTACATAAGATGAATAAAATATGAAAATTTTATTAAAAATTATAATTATCATTTATTTAGATTAATAAGAATTACTTTATATTATTAAAACATTTTTTTAATCCAAAATATTTAGATACACCTAGTAAAAAGTACATCAATAGATAGTTAAAATATATTCATCCTCATAGAATCTAAAGCTTTAAGATAGTTGATTTATCCTTTCATAAACTCTCTGTAAGTTCCTTTATTTATTTTTAATTATTGAATAGATATTATACTAATAAATAGAATTAAATTTAAATTTTATATACTTTGATTTACTCTCATCATATTGAATTACTTTGTTTTTAATTATAAATTTGTTTAAAAAATCAATCTGCAATATAAAAAAATTAATTTTAATAAATTAAGGAATTTAAAAAAGTAAGAAACTCGAATGAAGGAAAGTTTTTTTATTTGTATTCTTTCAATGAATTAGAGTAAAATTTATCTAATTATATATGATGTCGAAATTAATCTTACGATGATTATCTATAAAAAAATTATTGAATATGTAAAAATCAACGGCTAATTATAGAATATGATGAAAAATTGAGTTTATAATAATCATTCATAATGAATCTACATCTGACTTACTAAAAATTATAGATTTAGTCCTTTTCTAATGATAATTTCAATTCATAAAAGTGACCAATATTAACTTTTATTTTCTAGAATTCTAAGGTTCAACTTTTCTAAATTTAATATTGGCCTTTATGAAAATGAATTATATGAATAAAGGGCTAAATCTATAGTGTTTATGTATAATTCAAAAAAAGCAGGATGATAAATTTGAATTAAAGATGGATCTATATTATTAATTAGAAAATACTTGTATTATTTATTGAAAAGTTTATCACAATTTACTCTTAGGGCTTTTAAACAATTTCCTTAAAAAATTTTATACTATCTGCTTAGAAGCATTTTGTTATTACGAAAGCACTTTAAAAAAATTCTTCTTAGAATCACTTTTATTATTAAATTCATTCTATTGGATTGATTTTTAAAGCTTTTCATGCCCTTCTAGAGTTGGCTTTGATAAATTTAATATAATACTTTATTTTGATGACCAATTTTGTACCCTTTAAATATATTATATAAAAATTATCAAATCTTTTTGATTACATTAAAATATGAATTCATAATAATTCCACTTTTAATAGTGCATTTAAATAATATAACTATAACCTTTTATTCTTTATGTTTTTTTACAGCTGTTAATTAGTATATTGATTTTTTAGCATTCTAATTTTCAGTTTCTTTCAAAATTTTTATGTATTGCTTTTCTAAATTTCTCTTTATATGTTTACGTAAATTTACATACTACTTTCAACATCATCAAACATATTGATATTTGAATTTAAATCTATACAACATGTTGGAATTTTTCATCAATGCTAATTATAAAATTCTGAGAAGACTAAAAAAAAAGAGGCAAATCATTATTAATAAAATATTTATTATTTTAGAAGACTCCTGAAGTTAATAATTGATAATAATTTATATTATATATTCACTTTAGATCACTCATCAACTTATTATTTGATTAGAGCAAAATTTCAATCAACAATTTGTTTATATGCTCTATTCTTAATTTTCATCAGGCTTATGGCAACCCAATAGTATAAATTATCTCAAATGTTATATAACTAATTTTATTCTCAATTCTTATGATTTCATTAAGAACCAAACACCATAAAGGCGGAAATAATTTAATGATTGTTTTGGATTAATTAGTTAAGTATGTAGAATAATTGATTGTTTACCCTATGATTTTTTATAAAATAGTAAAGGATGAAATACTTTTGAGAATTTATCATTTTATGAATACAAAATTTAATAATTCAATTGATAATATAAATTTAATTGTTGTAAATAGTATTTACATTCTTTAAGTCATTTTGCAAATGAACTATTAATCTCAAATGAATGTAAAAAGCATCGGATGTTGCAAGTGAATAAAAGGAATTATTTTATTTTAGTCGGATTAAAATTGATGACTATAGTAATATATTTCTTCAAAAAGAATCAACAAAAAATAAAAATTTCTAAACAAGAACTATTCGTCCGTCCTAGGGAAAATTAAATCAACTATTGTCATACACTTAAGAATCAGAGTTAATTCGAATCATAAAATACCATTTTACTATTTGATTTCCTTACATTAGCTGTCTAATAGTTGATATGAAAATTTACAATATCTTCTTTTTAGATATCATATCTATTTTCTCACCTCACTCAATATTATAAATATCACTAAATATATACTAATAAGTGTGATTGAAATATTAATAAATTTGATACCTAATTAATTTTACGGATCCTGATTTAGTTTACACTTTACAATATTTAAAAATTTGCCAGGATCAAATTTCCAGCATTAGTTTTCTTAACACTCAATACAACCAATTTACAATAACATTAGCATTATAAATAACCATCAAATGGAAATATATTTCTATTAACAAATTACTCATCAATATATTTTATACTATCTCAATAAATTCCAAAACAGTTATTTTTTATTCTATAACAATCATTATATGCATAAATAGCAAAGCCCATATATACATTCTTAACAAAAATCATCACATCCAAATTTACAATTATGGCATCCATCAAATCATCAAATGGATTGTAATTACCATCATCACGATCTTCTCCATCAACTACTAAAAGATCCCCACAAATAGGATGAAATTGTAGAATATCTTGATAATAGCCTGGTAAATATTAACATTAATTGTTGAATATAATAAATCTTTGAATATCTGAAACTAATTTTATACAATCTGATTTCAAAATACTTTAACATGTTTCACAAAATTTATTGCTTTATATAAAGGCACCATTATTGAACCATTTTGAAAAATCACAAGAATTGCATTCTTCTAAATTATTGCAAATTAACATCCAGCCTAGTTGCAAGTAATAAAACTATTAATTTCAGAAATAGAATCAAAATATAACATATTAATTCAATTCCCAGTATTAATTGGTGATTCCAGATTACCATGCATAATTAATTATCTAAATTTAAATTATTAGCAAATTTATTTTTTTAGTTAAATTTTTATTTTGAGCTTAACACAAGAGATCCATCATTATAATCTTCACAAAATGGAATACACTAAATATAAAATCAAAAATTTACATAATGTACAACAATAAGTAGTTAGAAATTGTAAAAAATTAATCTCTTTGATCTGCAGTTGTATCTATACATTGAAATTCAATATTTAATTTAGAGGATATGAAAGGATTCAAGTAAATTTCAAAATATTTTGGTATCTTATTTCGACTCTTATAGAATCCACTATTAAAGGAATTTTTTTAAAAATAGAACAACAAATTATTTAAAATAGCTTTATATACTATACCAATAAGGTTTTATATATTTGGAAAATTAAAATTCTTCATTTTAATGCAGTAATTTACTTAATTGTTTTTATAAATTCCTTATAATAATTTTAATGAGCAACTGATTTTATTCCTTAAATTGTGTTATAAAATTTCCATTAAACTATCTCCTAGAACGAATTTAGTTGAAAATATTTGAAAATTTTTATCTTATCAAAAAATTATTACCATTTTAAATTACATCTTCAAAAAATGTGTTTATATCTTAAGTACACATATTTAAATTATAAAATCTTTTTGCTAAGTAACTAGAGTCTAAGAATAATTATTAAAATTACTTAGTATCATATTGATGAATTGTTTCTTGAAATTTAATTTTGTCTTCCAACTATATCTGCATAATCAATGCAATAGGCCGAATGCAATGGACAAGCATTAACGTAACCATTTTTAAATATTACATAATTAGTGTCACATTGTAGACATATTGAATAACTAGGATATACTGCTCGATTTTCTTAACAATTACCACTATCAATTGTTATATTTATGAATCCACATATTGAAGTTGCTTATATTAAATATGCTCCTTTTAAAATGAGTTAAGGAGTAACATAGTAGATTCGAAGAATTGCTTCTATTTTGATTATATCATCTGTAGTAGTGCAAGTGATACTTGAACTATAAATTTTTTTCTCATTATTAAAATTCTAATTAGATGAGGACTTGATAATTTCATCTTATATCTAATCATTCAATATTATTTAATCCTTATTCTGATACATTGTAAGGATTGTGAATTTGCAAATGATAAACTCATTCCCTCATTAAAAACTAAACTTCCAACATAGTAGTAATTTGGGGAACAAGTGAATATAATGATGGAGAACTTCTTAAATTTGCAGAATCTTAAATAAATTAAAAAGATGAATAAGTAATGAAAGTTGTTATTGAAAATATGAAATATTTGATTTAATTCTTCTATATGGACTTAAGCTTACAATCAATCTGTTTCATGAATCAATAAAAGTAAGTTTTTTGAGAAGATTGCCAAATATTAAAAATTATCATGTAGAATTCTATTTAATATAATTTTAACATATAGTCCTGAAGAAAAATTAATCTTAAATAATTTTTTTCATCCGACACAATAATTTTTTTAGCTAATGAAAACTCTTGCGATCTTATTTTATTTAAAAATCCAAAAATCCATCATTTAATTCTATCAATTAACAATCATTTTCACCTTGATCATTGTATTCTTCCACACTACTTATACTGTAATAATTAACGTCCTCATAAATATATTGCCAAGTTCTTTTTCTCTAATTATTCAAGTATTCTACAACCTCATATGCTTACCATAAAATTTAATTTATTTTAGATAACTCAAAATTATTTTATATCTATTTTAAATTATTTAATCTTCAAAAAATCTTTCAAGAAAGTATCATTTTTTGTCCATCTTTTCGAAAATATACAAAAGTAATTTGATATATGCAAAATAAAATATATAACAGTAAGTAGAAGCGATATTTCTAGATTTAATGTTATATAAAATAAAGTTAACTAAATACATTGAATACATTATATAAA